ACCTCAGTGTTGCTGATACACCTCAGTGTTGCTGACATACCTCAGTGTTGCTGATACACCTCAATATTGCTGACATACCTCAATGTTGCTGATATACCTCAGTGTTGCTGATATACCTCAATGTTGCTGACATACCTCAATGTTGCTGACATACCTCAATGTTGCTTGATACACCTCAATGTTGCTGATGTGCCTCCTCAATATTGCTGATATACATCAATGTTGCTGATGTACCTCAATGTTGCTGATATACATCAATATTGCTGACATACCTCAATGTTGCTGATATACCTCAATGTTGCTGACAAACTCTTACCTCAATGTTGCTGATATATTACTGATCAATGTTGCTGATATACCTCAATATTGCTGATACGCCTCAATATTGCTGATATACCTCAATATTGCTGACATACCTCAACATTGCTGATATACCTCAATATTGCTGATATACCTCAATATTGCTGACATACCTCAGTGTTGCTGATGTACCTCAATGTTGTTGAAGTATAGCAATGTCGATACATCCAATACTTCCCCTGCATGCTGGTGTTGCTCTGAGAAGCCATGCCTATGGTAACATACTGAATTCTCCTTCACTAGGTGCCAGCCCCTACTCTGGTCAGTGTGCCCGACAGGTCATGGCGTCGGTCAAGCAGGGGAGGAGACTGGAAAAGCCGGACTGCTGCTCTGATCACGTGTGAGTGCTGACGGGGGCGGTGGGGTAGTCTTGTGGTTAATGCGTTCGTTCGTCACGCCGATGACCCGGGTTCGATTCCCCACACAGGTTCAATGTGTGGAGCACATTTCTGGTGTCTCCCGTCTTGATATTGCTGGTATATTGCGCGGCGTAAATCTCACTCACTCACTCTGATGCTAACGTTTCTGCATGGCCAATAAATCCCGTGACTGCATACGGGCCTAACTGTGGTTAAAGATTCGCTTATTGCGAGTGGTCGAGTTGTCCGTATTCATTCACAGTCGAATAGGGAACGAAAAAAAACCCACTGACATTAATAAGGAACCTTTTTTTCGTTGTTGTTTTTTTTTTTTTTTTTTTACGAACAGGGTGTAATGTTGCTATGAATAGTAATATATTTCGTAGACCCATGCTCCCAAATAACAATTACAGTTCAAAATCTCAAATGAAAATATTTAGCTAACTTGCAAAATACACTGTTAATCATAGAAATATGTTGTTAGGGCACAATGACTATCTGACGAGCGATCTGACAACACTGGTTGAGTGTCCCATTTGTACATTGACGAGCTGAATACTGTTTAACGTTGCAGTCGGCAATATACCTTATATACAGATGACCACAACAATATTGCCGCAGAAGGACACGCAAACAACGATGTCGCAAAGCCGAATGTCGAAGACCATGAACATCACTACCTGGTACCCACGTTGTACTTTCCCTCTCCACAGGTACAAGCTGATGACGCAGTGCTGGCGACCCCACCCTGGGGACAGACCCACCTTCGCCGACCTGGCCGACACTATCGAGGGGCATCTGGAGGAGGAGGCCGAGTATGTACAGCTCAGCAACTTTGACGTCAACGTCTACAACGTCATCGACATGGGCGACATGGACGTTGCCGAGGAGAAAGTCTGAGACAGCAGCGTCAGAAAGGATTGTCATTTTCTCATCTTTTTGTTTCTCTGTTTTCTGAACATTCTCACATATTTGACGTGCTATATGTCTCCCAGCAGTGAATGGGTACCCGGTAGAATACGATGGTGATATGACTGTCCTTGAAGGGGTTTTGGTTGTATACTCTCCAAGGAGTATAAGACAGAGATAAGATTTATTTCAGTCTATCACAACAATTGTTGTCATATCTGTTGGTTTCAGTGTTCAAAATGGCAGAGATACGATTGTAATACATTTTATGTCATATGTCTCTCAGCAGTGAATTGTTACCCGGTAGAATGAGATCATAATGTGACTGTCTTTTAGGGATTTTAAGGTTGTATACTCTCCAAGGGTTGAGAATGAAATTTGAGTTAACTCTCATCATGGAAGTGAAGTCCTTTGTGAATGTTATTGTGATAATAATTACTGTTATTATGTCGTGTTGATTGCTATTGATCTCATTGATCTCCGTCCATTGTCATTCTTAAGGAGGTGACTGAACAAATTAAGACAAATCAATCACAGCTTTTTTCTCTGATGGGGTTTCAAATCCGCACAGGCTCCCAACACTTCGTGCTATGATTGTACATATCAACTGATTCTGACAGTTTGTGCAATAAACATGAAATAAAGCTTCCTCGTAATGGATTTCTATCTGCCTCCTTAGTCTGTTGCTTCTGTGGAGCATTATCACGGTGCACATGACACCATATTATGACATTAATTTAACCTTCCCCTTTGGTTTTCCCCTTTGTCGGGGCTGGTGGGGTAGCCTAGTGGTTAAAGCGTTCGCTCGTCACGCCGAAGACCCGGCCAGTGAAGGGACGACCACGAGCAGTATGTTCCGCTGGTAGGAAACGCACTGAGGTTGAGCTGGAACTCCGCTCATCTCATTTATATAATTATATCTGAGCCGGGGCGGTGGGGTAGCCTAGTGGTTAAGGCGTTCGCTCGTCGCGCCGAAGACCCGGCCAGTGAAGGGACGACCACGAGCAGGATGTTCCGCTGGTAGGATACGCCTTGAGGTTGAGCTGGAACTCCCTCATCTCATTTATGTCTGAACCTGCAACTCAGCTCATTGTGGCTCATTGCTGTCTTGTGTATTTGTTTGTCATGTGTTGTATAGCCAACTAAAGAAGATTTGACTCAACATATTCTTCGTCTTAATTCAAAGCTAGTTCCCTTGTACACATGCACGTGTTGACAATATGATGCGTTGCAGTCAAGTCAGCAAGTCTGACCCACCGATTCCGTTTTTGGCTTCTTGCAAGAATCATGGGGAATATTGTAATTCGATTGATTTGTTGTTTAACGCCGCACTCAGCAATATTCCAGCTATTTGGCGGAGATGTATTATCGAATCTGGACCAGACAATCCAGTGATCAACAGCATGAACCTTCACGGGTCAGTTCTTAATATTTTGAAAAGTGTTTTTACTGTGACTCCCAAGTCACAACCATTGTGCACGTGTTGCCAAAACTCTACATATATTGTTTTCAGTGCTATGAGTGGAATATCGTGAAAGTCATGATTTTGTTGAATCGCACGTGCATGTTATGCGCCAACAGTATGAAACACAGTCGACTGAGATTGTTAGTGGTATACCTGTTGAAGACACACATAAAAATGCCAAGATTGTCAGCAGCGGAGCGAGATCGAACCTTTGGAATGTCGCAGATGGCTTCGAACAACCATATTGCCAGAAAGGTCGACAGTACAAATGCAACAAAATTTGTCGTGTACACTTCTCAGAGATATGTCAAGCTTGCCACAATATGACCAGCCATGCAGATCATGTCCATGAGAACTGCCGCCCTAATCAAGCAGATTGTTAGTCGTTCATCTGCCTTTAAAACAGGCAGGATAGGCCAGCAAATGGAGAACTGGCAGTCAACGGGAAGAGCGCGGACAGACCAGCAGGAGGCAAGTCAGGGACAAGGAAGGACGAACACTGACCAGCCAATCCAGCCTATCTGCTGCCCAAGTGACTAGTCTCTGTCAGACTCTGGGTTAAGTGGTCGCCCTACCTCGCATGGTTATACTACGAGAATATAAACACTCATTCTTTGTATGCCAATTGAAGAATGACAGAAGTGTTACACTAGGCAGACAATCATCAAAGTAATGAAACGCATCAACCAATCTTGCCACACATCTGACAGTCCAAGAACTGGAAGACCGAGAGTGACCACCCGCAAGATGACCATTACCTGCGCATTCTCCATCTGCGCAACCGGATGCTCACAGTGACATCATCAGCATCAGCAACGATGTGTCACCGCAGCATCAACACTGTGATGAGACGACAGCGTGCTGACGGCATCCGGGCCTTTCGACCATTTCAGGGCGAGTCATTAACCTGCCAACATCTACTGCACCGTCTACGTTGGGCGAGAAACGTTGCCTTCAGGCAAGATACCTGTGGTGTTTTGACAACACACACAATGCTGTACTTCGCAAGTCACAATCCAAACACCTTTAAAATACTTACGGATGCGTAACTGTTTTTGAGAAATAATCCCAAAGCACCAGGTGTGTGCTTTCTTTTGTGCGTCAGTTTATAAAACCGATTAGCGAGCATATACATGCTATGTGATGTGAAACCACATTACTCCTTACTTCACCTCTCCTCACCAGTGAGTGAGTGAGTTTAGTTTTACGCTCAGCTATATTCCAGTAATATGGCGGCGGTCTGTAAATAATCGAGTCTGAATCAGACAATCCAGTGATCAACAGCATGAGCATCGATCTACGCATTTGGGATACGATGACATGTGTCAACCACGTCAGAGAGTCTGATCACCTGATCACGTTAGTCGCCTCTTACGACAAGCATGGGTTGCTGAAGATCAATTCTAACCCGGATCTTCTCGGGTATCTCCTCACCACTGGAATACAATATTCCACTATATTAAGTTGAACATACAGGCGTTGTTAAAAGGCTTATACACCGTGTTACACCCATCTGTGGTGTCCCCCACCATGATATTGCTGGGTCTAATTGTGATATTCTAATTGTTTTACTGTCCTCGATGACAGGTTTTATAACATACACATATTCCATTTCAATGTAAAATGTTCTCGTCCCGATATGGGTGAAATATTGCCGATGTGACGTTAAATATTAACTCACTAACTCACTCATGATATTGCTGGGATACTAGTATTGCTAAAAGCGGCGTAAAACTAAACTCACTCACTCAGCGTTAGAATTTCATGACATGTTCAAATGTCTTCAGTATGTGTTTAATTCGACGTGTCACGGTAGAGCAAGTGACATACATGTTGTTTGCATTCAGTCCGTCACCAATCACGTGTTACCGCAACCAACAAGAAGATAATACAAAATAATCCGGTATGTCCCAGCATGGCTTTATTGCTGCCTCGAGTGTAAAGCAGAACGGCACAAGCGGACCAGACACGAAAGTATCTCGCGTCACGAGTGAGTTTAATGATAAGATAATCCAAGAATGCTTCAATCGACGACTGTAGTGCTGGCGATAGCCCACTTGGCAGGTAGGATATTTTACATCAATACATTGCTTCTCCTTTGATGTTTTATTGTTTTAGGAAAGAATATTTCTTAAGTATGCCATGTTTGAAATAGCCAACTATTAAGAAACAAGTGACTATGTGTCTGTGTGTCTACGTTCGCCATGGCGTAGGTCGTTCATGCAAGAACTGGGCGATATCTAAATATCATATCTAATGAATGTTTGTTTTAAAGCAGTCAGACTCGCAATGTTGTCACAATAACAACATGGGCTGACAACTCTCAATGTTCAAACTGACAACTTATAATTGTCAAGCAATAATGACAACGTTAAAATTGTCAAAGCAATAATGACAACGCTAAAATTATCAAAGCAATAATGACAACGCTAAAATTGTCAAGCAATAATGACAACGCTAAAATTGTCAAGCAATAATGACAACGCTAAAATTGTCAAAGCAATAATGACAACGCTAAAATTGTCAAGCAATAATGACAACGCTAAAATTGCCAAAGCAATATTCTAATTCAACTTAGTATGTAACACGAGTTCTGATTGGTCAATGCTATAAATTTCCGACCGTATAATCAGCATATACGGTCGCAATTTGAAAACCGATTCACCAAAACCTTTAATTCTAATTCAACTTAGTATGAAACACGAGTTCTGATTGGTCAATGCTATAAATTTCCGACCGTATAATCAGCATATACGGTCGCAATTTGAAAACCGATTCACCAAAACCTTTAATTCTAATTCAACTTAGTATGAAACACGAGTTCTGATTGGTCAATGCTATAAATTTCCGACCGTATAATCAGCATATACGGTCGCAATTTGAAAACCGATTCACCAAAACCTTTAAATGTATCCCTACACTTTTGGGGTAACGCTGCTTTGCAGGACATTGTCATTTACAGAAGCCATAGGTCAATTAACTGCCCTATCCAGCTAAAATGGGTGGAATTTGTGTTAAAAACGACACAACAGTATCATAAATTTAATTTTAAGTTCAAACAACTTACTCGCAACGGGCTGTTGACCCAACACTGATAGATCATGAAACAAGATTTATGACGTCATTATGGAGCGTGACGTCACCTGCTGTGACGTCATTTGACAACAGAACTGATAATGGCCCGTAGTTAAGGAATCAGCGGGCCGCTCGTTTCTGTAACTAGAGGGCGATTTCATCATAATTCCTTCCATTTTATCTATAATACTATGATCTATTCATCATTGTCAGATTTAGTCTGTGTGCACATAATAAACGTGTGTAGTTTGAAAAGGGAACTACTTTTTCTGGCGTTGGTGTAAGTTCAAGGAGTGATATGATTAACCTTTGACCTAGAGGAACTTTGACCTGGTTTAAATAATGAATTTCTTTCACGAAAAAACAGCGTAAAACGAGTTGAATTAGAATGGGGATAACTGTACTGTGTTTGACGAATTGGGGACGTATACCGGTGGTTATATAGCCGCAAATTTAACGTTATATCGTCATAAATTTAACGTTATAACGTTATAACAACCGGTATACGTCCCCAATTCGTCAAACACAGTACAGTTATCCCCTAAATGACAACGCTAAGATTGTCAAGCAATAATGACAACGCTAAAATTGTCAAATTGACAACGTTTTATTTACAGTGACGTTTCAAATATATTGGTGCGACGTAAGGGAACATTCGGTCAGTTCTAAGTCTACAGCTGACCAATACTTTCCTAGGCATTTTTAATTTTCCCAGAATTACGTCTTTATTCATTTGCTGCTTCTAAATTGTTCAGGAAGCTGTTTTGGTAGTAATCCATGAATAAACATGTCATCGCCTACCAGTGGTGCGAAATATGATTTGTCAAATTGTGTGTGTGTGTTTGTGTGTGTGCGCGTGCGCGCGCGCGTGTGTGAGTGCGTCCTTGTGTACCTGCGCGCGCGCGTGTGGCTGTATTTGTGCATGCTTGAATGCGCGTGTGGCTGTATTTGTGCATGCTTGAATGCGTGTGTGGCTGTATTTGTGCATGCTTGTATGCGTGTGTGGCTGTATTTGTGCATGCTTGTATGCGTGTGTGGCTGTATTTGTGCATGCTTGTATGCGTGTGTGGCTGTATTTGTGCATGCTTGTATGCGTGTGTGCTGCATTTGTGCATGCTTGAATGCGTGTGCGTGGCTGTATTTGTGCATGCTTGTATGCGTGTGTCTGCATTTGTGCATGCTTGTATGCGTGTGGCTGTATTTGTGCATGCTTGAATGCGTGTGGCTGTATGCATGGCTGTGCTTGTGTATGCGCGTGTGATTTGTGCATGCTTGAATGCGTGTGTGGCTGTATTTGTGCATGCTTGTATGCGTGTGTGGCTGTATTTGTGCATGCTTGTATGCGTGTGTGCATGCTGTATTTGGCTGTATTTGCATGCTTGTATGCGTGTGTGGCTGTATTTGTGCATGCTTGTATGCGTGTGGCTGTATTTGTGCATGCTTGTGTGCGTGTGTGGCTGTGTTTGTGCGTGTGCTGTATTTGTGCATGCGTGTGTGGCTTTGTATGTATTTGTGCATGCTTGTATGCGTGTGGCTGTATTTATGCATGCTTGTATGCGTGTGGCTGTGCATGCATGCTTGTATGCTTGTATGCGCGCGCGATGTGGCTATATGCTTGAATGCGTGTGGCTGTATTTGTGCATGCTTGTATGCGATAATGGCTATGTTTGGCATGCTTGTATGCGTGTGTGGCTGCATTTGTGCATGCTTGTATGTGGCGTGCATGCGTGTGTGGCTGTATTGTGCATGCATGCTTGTATGCGTGTGTGTGTATGGCTATGTTTTGCATGCATGCTTGTATGCGTATGTGTGGCTGTATTTGTGCATGCTTGTATGCGTGTGTGGCTGTATTGTGCATGCTTGTATGCGTGTGTGTGTATTTGTATTTGTGCATGCTTGTATGCGTGTGTGGCTGTATTTGTGCATGCTTGTATGCGCGTGTGGCTATGTTGTGCATGCGTGTGTGGCATGCTTGTATGCGTGTGTGGCTGTGCATGCTTGAATGTGCATGTGTGTGTGTGCTGTATTTGTGCTATGTGCATGCTTGTATGCGTGTGGTATGCGTGTGGCTGTATTGCTTAAATGCATGCTTGTATGCGTGTGTGCATGCTTGTATGCGTGTGTGGCTGTATTTGTGCATGCATTGCTTGAATGCGTGCATGTGTGGCTGTATTTGTGCATGCTTGTATGCGTGTGTGGCTGTATTTGTGCATGCTTGTATGCGTGTGTGGCTGTATTTGTGCATGCTTTGTATGCGCGATGTGGCTGCTATTTGTGCATGTGTGCGTGTGGCTGTATTTGTGCATGCTGTATTTGTGCATGCTTGTATGCGCGTGTGGCTGGCTGTATGCATGCTTGTGTGTGCTTGTATGCGCGTGTGGCTGGCTGTATGTGTGCTGTATTTGTTGTGCATGCTTGTGCATGCTGCGTGTGTGTGGCTGTATTTGTGCATGCTTGTATGCGTGTGGCTATTTGTGTGCATGCTTGTATGCGTGTGTTGTTTGTGCATGCTTGTATGCGTGTGTGGCTGTATTTGTGCATGCTTGTATGCGTGTGTGGCTGTATTTGTGCATGCATGCTTGTATGCGCATGTGTATGCGCCTGGCTATGTTGTGCATGCATGCTTGTATGCGTGTGGCTGTATTTGTGCATGCTTGTATGCGTGTGTGGCTGTATATTTGTGGCATTTGCATGTATGCGTGCATGCTTGTATGCGTGTGTGGCTGTATTTGTGCATGCTTGTATGTGTGGCTGTATTGTGCATGCTTGTATGCGTGTGTGGCTGTATTTGTGCATGCTTGTATGCGTGTGTGGCTGTATTTGTGCATGCTTGTATGCTGTGTGTGGCTGTATTTATTGCATGCTTGTGGCTGTATGCGAATGCGTGTAATGGCTGTATTTGTGCATGCATGCTGTATTTGTGCATGCTATGCGTGTGTGGCTGTTATTGCTTGTATGCGTGTGTGGCTATGCATTTGTATATGTGAGCTGTGTGCGTGTGTGGCTGTATTTGTGCATGTGCATGCTTGAATGCGTGTGTGGCTGCATGCTTGTTGTGCATGCTTGTATGCGTGTGGCTGTATTTGTGCATGCTTGTATGCGTGTGTGGCTGTATTTTGTGCATGCTTGTATGCGTGTGTGGCTGTATTTGTGCATGCTTGGCTATGCGTGTGTGGCTGTGCATGCCTGTATGCATGCTTGTATGCGTGTGTGCTGTATTTGTGCATGCTTGTATGCGTGTGTGGCTGTATTTGTGCATGCTTGTATGCGTGTGGCTGTATTTGTGCATGCTTGTATGCGTGTGTGGCTGTATTTGTGCATGCTTGTATGCGTGTGGCTGTATTTGTGCATGCTTGAATGCGTGTGGCTGTATTTGTGCATGCTTGTATGCGTGTGTGGCTGTATTTGTGCATGCTTGTATGCGTGTGTGGCTGTATTTGTGCATGCTTGTATGCGTGTGTGGCTGTATTTGTGCATGCTTGAATGCGTGTGTGGCTGTATTTGTGCATGCTTGTATGCGTGTGTGGCTGTATTTGTGCATGCTTGAATGCGTGTGTGGCTGTATTTGTGCATGCTTGAATGCGTGTGTGGCTGTATTTGTGCATGCTTGTATGCGTGTGTGGCTGTATTTGTGCATGCTTGAATGCGTGTGTGGCTGTATTTGCATGCTTGTATGCGTGTGTGCTGTATTTGTGCATGCTTGTATGCGTGTGTGCATGCTATTTTGTGCATGCTTGTATGCGTGTGTGGCTGTATTTGTGCATGCTTGATGTGTGGCTGTATTTGTGCATGCTTGAATGCGTGTGTGGCTGTATTTGTGCATGCTTGTATGCGTGCATGCTGTATGCGTGTGTGCTTGTATGCGTGTGTGCATGCTTGTATGCGTGTGTGGCTGTATTTGTGTGCATGCTTGTGCATGCGTGTGCATGCATGCTTGCGTTATGCGTGTGGCTGTATTTGTGCATGCTTGTATGCGTGTGTGGCTGTATTTGTGCATGCTTGTATGCTTGTATTTGTGCTGTATTTGCTTGCATGCTTGTATGCGTGTGTGGCTGTATTTGTGCATGCTTGTATGCGTGTGTGCTTGCATGAATGCGTGTGTGCTGTATGCTTGCGTGTGTGGCTTGAATGCGTGTGGCTGTATTTGTGCATGTGTATTTGTGCATTTGTGCATGCTTGTATGCGTGTGTGGCTGTATTTGTGCATGCTTGAATGCGTGTGTGGCTGTATTTGTGCATGCTTGTATGCGTGTGTGGCTGTATTTGTGCATGCTTGTGCGCATGTGGCTGTATTTGTATGCTTGGCTGTGGCTTATTTGTTGCATGCTTGTATGCTGTGTGTGGCTGTGGCTGTATTTGTGCATGCTTGTATGCGTGTGTGGCTATATTTGTGCATGCTTGTATGCATGTGTGTGCATGTATGTTGTATGCGTGTGTGGCTGTGCTTATGCATGCGTGTGTGTGGCTGTATTGTGCATGCTTGTATGCGTGTAATGGCTGTATTTGTGCATGCTTGTATGCGTGTGTGGCTGTATTTGTGCATGCTTGTATGCGTGTGGCTGTATTATGCTTGTATGCGTGTATGCTGTATTTGTGCATGCTTGTATGCGTATTTGTGCATGCTTGTATGCGTATGGCTGTATTTGTGCATGCTTGTGTGGCTGTATGTGCATGTGTATGCGCTGTATGTATTTATGCATGCTTGTATGCGTGTGTGGCTGCATTTGTGCATGCTTGTATGCGTGTGTGTGGCTGTATTTGTATGCTTGAATGCGTGTGTGGCTGTATTGTGTGCATGCTTGTATGCGTGTGTATGCTGTATTTATTTGTGCATGCTTGTATGCGTGTGTGGCTGTATTTGTATTTGTATTGCATGCTTGTATGCGTGTGTGCATGCTTGTGCGTGTGTGTATTTGTGCATGCTTGTATGCGTGTGTATTGTGCATGCTTGTATGCGTGTGTGGCTGTATGCTTGTGTGCGTGTGGCTGTATTTGCATGCTTGTATGCTAGTGGCTGTATTGCATGCTTGTAATATGCGTGTGGCTATGTGCTTGTATGCGTGTGTGGCTGTGTGTGCATGCTTGTATGCGTGTGTGCGATGTGGCTGTATTTGCATGCTTGCTTGTGCGTGTGGCTGTATGTTGTGCATGCTTGAATGCGTGTGGCTATGCATGCTTGTGTGGCTGTATTTGTGCATGCTTGTGCGTGTGTGGCTGTATTTGTGCATGCATAATTGTATGCGTGTGTGGCTGTATTTGTGCATGCTTGAATGCGCTGTGTGGCTGTATTTGTGCATGCTTGTATGCCTATGTATGTATTGGCTGTATTTGTGCATGCTTGTATTGTGCATGCTTGTGCGTGTGCTGTATTGTGCATGCATGCTGTGGCTGTATGTGCATGCTTGTGTGCTGTATTTGTGCATGCTTGTATGCGTGTGTGGCTGTATTTGTGCATGCTTGTATGCGTGTGTGGCTGTATTTGTGCATGCTTGTATGCGTGTGTGGCTGTATTTGTGCATGCTTGTATGCGTGTGTGGCTGTATTTGTGCATGCTTGTATGCGCGTGTGGCTGTATTTGTGCATGCTTGTATGCGTGTGGCTGTATTTGTGCATGCTTGTATGCGTGTGTGGCTGTATTTGTGCATGCTTGTATGCGTGTGTGGCTGTATTTGTGCATGCTTGTATGCGTGTGTGGCTGTATTTGTGCATGCTTGTATGCGTGTGTGGCTGTATTTGTGCATGCTTGTATGCGTGTGTGGCTGTATTTGCATGCTTGTGCGTTGTGGCTATATTTGCATGTGCATGCTTGTATGCGTGTGTGGCTGTATTTGTGCATGCTTGTATGCGTGTGTGGCTGTATTTGTGCATGCTTGTATGCGTGTGTGGCTGTATTTGTGCATGCTTGTATGCGCGTGTGGCTGTATTTGTGCATGCTTGTATGCGTGTGTGGCTGTATTTGTGCATGCTTGTATGCGTGTGTGTATTTGTGCATGCTTGTATGCGTGTGGCTGTATTTGTGCATGCTTGTATGCGTGTGGCTGTATTTGTGCATGCTTGTATGCGTGTGGCTGTATTTGTGTATGCTTGAATGCGTGTGTGGCTGTATTTGTGCATGCGTGTATGCGTGTGTGGCTGTGTGTGTTTGTCTGTCTGTCTGTGTCTGTATCTGTGCTCTCTCGAAACAAAAGGAATGACAAGTACCTAACGCGTTGTTCCTGTTTACCTAGCGGCGGTGCCGACGTTCAACTCAGCAAACCTCGTGTCCAATCTTCAAAACGCAGCCTTGGATGAAATTTCTGGACTGGCCGCCAGTCGAATCCATGATGGTATTTTGTATGGAATCAACGACCACACCAGCAGCACCGTCGAGAACAAAGTGTACGCCATCAACGCCAACACAGGTTAGCATCAGCCTTATTCGGCCTGCTCGAGAGAGTGAGTAGTGTTTTACGCCGCTTTAGCACTTTCCAGCAAAATCACGGCGGGGGACACCAGACATGGGCTTCACACATTGCACCCATGCGGGGAATCGAACCGGGTCTTCACCGTGACGAGCGAACGCTTTAACCACTAGGCTACACCACAACCCCTTAGTGTGGAGAGCCATTCTGAACATATATTACTGACGTTGATAGAGCTATAAATAAATTAAGCATTATCTATCACTATTAAGAGTGAGTGAGTGAGTTTGGTTTTACGCCGCTTTTAGCAATATTCCAGCAATATCACGGCGGGGGACACCAAAAATTAGCTTCACACATTGTACCCATGTGGGGAATCGAACCCGGGTCTTCGGCGTGACGAGCGAACGCTTTAACCATTAGGCTGCCCCACCGCCACCACTATTAAGAAATCGAAGAGCCCAGAACAATGCTTAATTTCAGTGAGTCAGTCAGGAAGATTTTACACCGCTCTTAGGAATATGCCATCAACATCGCAGCGACGGACACCAGAAATAGGCTTCACACATTGCATCCATGTGGGGAATCGAACCCAGGTCTTCGGCGTGACGCGCGAACGCTTTAACCACTAAGCCACCATACTGCCCCCAGCCAGTACGACATACATAAACATGTGACCATGTAAACATGTTGTCTTGTCCAGACTCGATTATTTACAGACCGCCGCCATATAGCTGGAATATTGCTGAGTGCGGCGTAAAACTAAACTCACTCACTCACTCCTTGAAGTCTACCCCGATTTGCTGGGCCTTGTTACAGGTGCGTTAGCTGCCACCCTGACCATCACGGGTGCGACTAACTGGGACTGGGAGGACATTGCGGTGGGTCCGTGCCCCGACAGCGGCTCCTGCATCTACATCGGCGACATCGGCAATTCCAACGGCATCTCACAGAACACCGTCTACAGGGTGAAGGAGCCGGCTACCTTGGAGGACTCGTCCGTGCCTTACCTGGACAAGCTGCAGTACAGGTGATCACTTCATCCTGGATATGATGACGATGATGATGATGAGATTTTCCGACATAATGCGTATTTCGCACCCGGTCTTTTTCTGGCAATAATAATAATAAGGTCACTTATTTAGCGCTGAACTGCACTCCGCATGCTCTAAGCTCATACAGTGAGTGAGTGTGGTTTTACGCCGCTTTTAGCAATATTCCAGCAATATCACGGCGGGAGACATCAGAAATGGGCTTCACACATTGTAGGCTACCCATGTGGGAAATCGAACCCGGGTCTTCGGCGTGACAAGCGAACGCTTTAACCACTAGGCTACCCCACCGCCTCCCTAAGCGCATACAACATAATGGACATTATAAACCCCCAGTGACGTCACAGTTGTTCAATTAGGCTCTTCTTTTACAGGATAAACCTCTGCCGTTAGTATCCTGGGCATTCTCCCTCTTCGAGGGATTTAATGCACAGGGCTTTCTTGAAGAATAGCCATTGAGATACAATTATTTTACTTGGACAAGTTTTGAAGGTTGATATAACTTTGTCTTGCTATTAGGCCTACTGAATACGATCGTTAAATATCACAATATTGAAAACTTCCAATATGTTGTGTCGCTGCCTGGTTTCGAACCTGCAACCCTTCCGCTTTCGCTTGGCGGTTTTATCCACTAGGCCACGAAAGACCGCTGTGAAGAATGAGATTGTTTCTCAGTATGAATCATGCAGCGCACGTGCAGGACACGGGTAGCGCGTGCAGAGCACGTGCATTGCGCGTGTAAGGCAAAATATCGGCTGCCAGTCGCATCTCAGTTGATTTCAACAGAACATACCATTGAAACCGTGTAAATACCTAGCATTAAAATTATGCCTAAAGTATATCTTCGGTCGGTTCATAAGCAGGATCAAAACCCCCTCCTCGGTTTAGTTTGAATAAGTAAGCCCTTGGCCTCGGGAAACAAAACCGAGGTTGTTTTTTTTATCCTTCACATAACCACATCGAACAGCAGATTTGACTGTCCCGCTGTGCTGCTAATTCAAATTAGCTCAGTAGATTTAGATCTTAATTACTGCGGGCGGTGGGGTAGCCAAGTGGTTAAAGCGTTCGCGCGTCACGCCGTAGACCCGGGTTCCATTCCCAACTTGGTTACAGTGTGTGAAACCCATATCTGGTATCCCGCTGAAAAAGACCAAATTAAACTCGCTCGGTCACTCACTCTTAATTACTGCCAGATGTTAAGTGTAGGATAAAACACGACTCCGAGGTTTTGGTTGAGATTGTAAAACCTCAGGGGAAGGAAATCCCGAGGGCGTCTAAGACAACACTTAATTTCAATTTGTGCATGTACTGAGTAGAACAACATTGATGGAACAGCCCGCAAATGATGGAACAGCCGGTGTCAACTAGGATGCCACTGGCAGCCAACACCTTGCCCCGCACGCGCAATGCTCGTGCTCTGCACGCGCTACCCGTGTCCTGCACGTGCGCTGCCCGCAGTACCTGTCGTGTGAGAAACACATGGTTCATACTGACAAACGATCTCATTACTCACAGCGATCTTTCGTAGCGTAATTGATAAAACCGCCAAGCTAGAGAACGATGGGTTGCGGGTTCGAAACCAGTTATCGCCACTGAATCTTGGAAGTTTTCAATAATTAGATATTTTACGATCAGTCATAGCAAAACAAAGTTGTATCAGTCATAAATAATGGTATGGGTATGATGTTTTACAACGACCATTGTAAAACTTCGTACCTCGTATGAGGTTTTACAATGGTCACTGTAAAACCTCCTGCAATCGTAAAACCTCTACCGAGGTTATTCCATAAAGCGAAGCAACTGCAAGAACAATAGACAACATTGGCAATAGGTTTATAAATGCTGATAACGGAATAAGGATTGGTCACTAATGCATTTCACTGTCAACTAACCCATGCGTTATCTCAAAAAGTAATCTATTAGGCGTCTGGTAACCTTCTCCAGGTGTCCAGACCCATGATCCCGTTAGGTAGTTTAGACAACTGTTTGTGGTTATTCATGGAAAATATGCATTTACAATGCTCATGGTAAAATAAGTGTTGTTTGTTTGTTTTTTAACGCCGCACTCAGCAATATTCCAGCCCTATGGCGTCGGTCTGTAAATAATCGAGTCTGGACTAGACAATCCAATGATTAACATCATGATTTGTTTGTTTGATGTTTAACGCCGCACTCAGCAATATTCACCCATATGGCGTCGGTCTGTAAATAATCAAGTCCTTTTCTTCTCCTATAGTCATTCATTGTTGTGTCGGACTTGTACATGTATCAATCACTGTTGTGTCGAACTTGTGTCAATCACTGTTGTGTCGAACTTGTGTCAATCACTGTTGTGTCTCCATGTCCAAGCTAGGTCCTTACGTATTCCCTATTTAGTCATTAATTTACAGCTTTGTGGTGCCAGTGCACACTGAAGGCGTGGGGGTGCCTTCAATACTAATTGATACTAATAACTGGTGGGCGAAGGGGTAGCCTAGTGGTTAAAGCGTTCGCTCGTGACGCCGAAAACCCGGGTTCGATTCCCCACATGGGTACAATGTGTGAAGCCCATTTCTGGTGTCCCCCACCAGATATTGCTGGAATATTGCTAAAAGCGGCGTAAAACAAAACTCACTCACTCACACCACTATATTACCCAACGTCCCCTTAGAAAATGATGTTGGGTCAGCCATGCACCATGTCATAAATCTCACTCATACACTCATCAGACCCGTGAAGGTCCGGGTTAGAATATCGATCTTCAGTAACCCATGCTTGTCGTAAGAGGTGACTAACGGGATCGGGTGGTCAGACTCTCTGACTTGGTTGACACATGTCATCGGTTCCCAATTGCGCAGATTGATGCTCATGCTGTTGATCACTGGATTGTCTGGTCTAGACTCGATTATTTACAGACCACCGATATATAGCTGGAATATTGCTGAGTGCGGCGTAAAACTAAACTCACTCACTCACTATCAATCTCTACCCAGATGGAGCGAGAAGGAGAGTGAATGCCTGATGGTCGACCCTGCTGGCAACGCCTACGTCGTCTCCCGTGTCCAGGGCGGTCATGGCCTCATGGCCAAGCTTCCTTCATTCGGCTGGGCCGGCAAGGCCGTCGACGTCACCGTCACATCACGTCTCTCAACCACGACCGCACACCACGACCCTCTTGGTTGCGACATCTCCCCCGACGGAAAAGCAATGCTCATCAAGGCCAAAGACGACATCTACTACTACTCCGTTCCCGACGGGGACTACGTCGAGGCGGCTAAAGGCCAGGCTACCACTGTGAAATATGACATGAAGGAGCACTTGGGAGAATCGGTTGCATGGACGGCGAAGGGGGACGGCTACTACACAGTATCCGAGGGAACTTATCAACCCATCTACCTGTACTCCGTCGTAGGTACTGTTGTTGTCGGGTAGTGAAGCCGCCGGGGCGTTCCTGATGCACTGAAATAAAGTTTTGTATTGTACAATGGATCATGTTATCGATGTTATGTAATCCAGGGCTGGATTTAAGAGATGTTAACCTACTTGCACCAGGTGCAACCTAAGATAAAAACCTAGTTGCACCAGCCAAATTCCAGTTGCACTGCTTTATTGCGATATACATGTAATGAAAGACATATGCTAAATTATAAAGATTTCTTTTCAGAAGTTTACCCACTCAAAAATTGACTTGCACCTGGTGCAAGTTAGACTAATAACTAGGTTGCACTTTGTAATATTGGGTTGCACCAATGCAAGTAAGAAAGCACTAAATCGAGCCCTGTAATCCAATAAACATACTACCACAACCCCAAACAAATGCAGCAGAAAATACACTTTGATAGGTCCGTGCATCGATGCGATGCATTCTTGTTGGATGCTTGTTTGTTCGTTTGTTTGTTTGTTAGTTAAACGCCGCACTCAACAATATTACAGTATATGACGGCGGTCTGCAAATAATCGAGTCTGGACCAGACAATACAGTGATCAACATCATGAGCATCGATCTACGCAACTGGGATATGATGACGTGTCAACCAAGTCAGAGAGCCTGACCAACCAAACCCGTCAGTCGCCTCTTACGACAAGCATGGGTTACTGAAGACCAATTCTAACCAGATTCTTGAGAGGCATTTAGAAGTTGGTGAATATATAAGACGAATATATGGATGGCAACTTCTTCTTTATTGTATAACACGACGTTTCTGGGCTACTTCTTGCCCCTTCTTCAGGTGATTAAAGACATATGTAGAAAGCAAACTATATATACCAGATTTACAGGATTTACAGGAAGCCAGATATGTACATGTATATACAGTCAATCATTGAGGACCGATCAAAAAGCAGTTATAAAAACAATGATAATCGGGATAAGGTAAAGCCAGTTGACACAAACAATGAGGATAAGGACATGTGAACACAGCAGAGTGATATACAGGTAATTAAGCGACAATAGAGGCCAGTGTGGTGCGGCTTTTGTGATGTTCCAGTGTACTTCTGTTCTATGAAGCTCCCCTGTACTACTGAGGTAAAGTCTGTAAACATAATTCTGGGAATAAAAAACATGAAGAAAAAAACAGAGAGAAAAAATGATGCAGTTTTACATAAACATAATCTGCTAAAATGTTACTGGTGGGGGATCTGTTTCTTTTAATGCTTGTTAACATTACTTCACAAGTTTCTTGTCGAGGTTGAACAGTGCTGCACATACAAATTGCATTTGATCCAAAATACTCTTAAGTCTGAGTGGGATAACTCTTTGAAAGATTTGAAACTTCTTAAGCCTTCCTATGGCACGTTCAACGTGAATGCGTGAACTGGCAATTCTGCTTGTCTTTACTACTGCTTTTGATTTCAACTGCTTACCCATAGAAAATGGTGGTATGTTGAGAGTGCACATTCTTTTAGTAAGTAAATCACGTATTAAAAATCCTCGGTCAGCCATGATGTCATCTCCGTACTCAAGTTTGTCTAGGAAACCAGACTGCTGAACAATCTTCCTGTCTGATATTGAACCTGTATACAGATTTGAGAGAAAAACAAATGTACCAGAGGGGGATATGGCAACTAATGATTTTACAGTGTTGTGGTGCTTGTATTGGGACCATGTGACTCGCTGAGATGAAGCTAGACTTGGTTTTTGAATGAAAAATTCTGTGCAGTCAATAATTACTCTGGTCTTACGAAAACATTTGAAGCACTTAGGTAAGCATGAATTTACTTGATACCGAGTTGGCCAAGATACTAGGAACTGAAGTTCGTGGTACATAAAAGAAATCCAAGTGGTGACCTCTCCTCCCAGGTTTTTGACCATGATCCTCCTGAAACAGTTATTACATCATTCATAGTATATGTCTAAAACTCAATAACCTCCCCCCAAAATAATGGTCTCCAAATGATTCATTTTACCTTGTTAGATATATATTTTTTGGCTCTACTTTTAAAAGTTGGTCTAGCTTATAAGCTTCTTTCTTACTATAACCTTCACTGTGATGAACATCATCATCCTTACATTGATGAAATTGCAGCTATTGGAATTTTAATATAATTACTGTTAAGCCAGCAGTGTCAGATCCACGCCAGTAGTTCAGTCTCTTGGCTTTCGTCATCAGCAGATTCAGAATGATGGCAAATAGAGATGTTGTCAGACCTGTGTAGATAGAAATAATTTATTCTCTTATTTATAATGATTATTTATAGAAGCATTGATATAAATTACCATTAACCAATGACCATTTTGATTTTTGGTTACCATGTCAAAGGTCTAAAAAATGTTGGTTAAAGTTTAAATTTAATAATCGCCATTTGGACTAACAAGAAAAACTTGAAAAATTGTTTGTAGCACATGTTGAATTTTATATTGTAATAATTACCTGTGTAAAATTTGCAGGTGCCATCGTCACTTTTTATGGTGCGTATGAAATCGTTCCTTTTCAGAACTTTGGGGTCTTTTATCTCTGCATCACTGTACCCAAGCATATGATCCATGTTAATGTCTGTCTGTGTGCATGCATCCGCTGTGATGCTTGCATCTGTATCAAGTGAGATTGTAATATTTAATATCAATGCCGTATCAATGTTAAAATAAATCAGTTACTTCAAACTGCATTTGTTTTTTTAACACGTTTCGCCCCGCCAGGGCTCATCAGTGCAGCTTGGCTTTCCAAACGAGGAAAACTGCAGACATGTATCACTTATTAGACCTACATGATCACCAAATTCTGTTTTAAGTTGTTCAGTTTAATATTACATTTGGATCAATATCAAATATTTTGCTTGATGAAAGAATGATAATTAGCTTTGTGATTTATCAGGACAACTTACCGGTACTTTGACTACTTACCTTGATGATCATCACTGAAAACTTCAAAGTAGTCATGAAAGTTGTCCAATAGTGGTGATGACAACATCTCCTGAATCTGTTCATCTTGTTCCTCAGGGGAAGGCACATTCACTTGGAGTTCTTGCAGTGGGTCCTTTTTAATGCAGTGAACATAAATTCAAATCATATAGGCCTCTACTAGTTTTCATTTCTGGACAATTGTCAAAATGGAACATTCAGGCAATACATTAATTTTCCACAAAAATTAAATGAGTAGTTGCACCTAGCAGCATATAGGAAAACAATTTCCATTTTAAAATAGCTACAGCACTTTAGTTGTGTCAAGTGAGTAAAAGGTAATCAGTGATTGTTCTATAAGAAATATGAGAACGTTTTGAAGAGTATAACAATTTACTGGTTGAATCGCTCGATATAACTTCGGTGGTTTTTGCGGCTATATAAATAAACACCGGTATAAATCGTCCCCAATTCGTCAGTTATCCCTTCATTCCAATTCAACTCGTTTTACGCTGTCTTTTCGTAAATTTTTTCCGTCCGCAAAGAAATTCATTTTATTTAATTCTTAGGCTATAGGTCAATGGTTAATCATATCACTCCTTGAACTTACACCATCGCCAGAAAAAGTAGTTCCCTTTTCAAACTACACACGTTTATTATGTGCACACAGATTAAATCTGACAATGATGAATAGATCATAGTATTATAGATAAAATGGACGGAATTATGAAACCGCCCTCTAGTTACAGAAATGAGCGGCCCGCTGATTCCTCAACTACGGGCCACTATCAGTTCTGTTGTCAAATGACGTCACAGCAGGTGACGTCACGCTCCATAATGACGTCATAAATCTTGTTTCATGATCTAACAGTGTTGGGCCAACAGCCCGTTGCCAGTAAGTTGTTTGAACTTAAAATTAAATTTATGATACTGTTTTGTCTTTTTTAAACACAAATTCCACCCATTTTAGCTGGATAGGGTAGTTAATTGACCTATGGCTTCTGCAAATGACAATGTCCTGCAAAGCAGCGTTACCCCAATAGTGTAGGGATACATTCAAAGGTTTTGGTGAATCGGTTTTCAAATTGCGACCGTATATGCTGATTATACGGTCGGAAATTTATAGCATTGACCAATCAGAACTCGTGTTACATACTAAGTTGAATTAGAATCTGGTATATATATAGTTTGCTTTCTACATCTGTCTTTAATCACCCGAAGAAGGGGCAGGAAGTAGTACAGGAACGTCGTGTTATACAATAAAGAAGAAGTTGCCATTCATATAGACCATTCTTAATGAGGCCTCATGAATATTCATATCTGTACCAAAACGAGGCTAAATTGGGCAAGGACACAATCGCATAATGGCGACAAATGTCAATGTATACTTCCTGGTTTCAAATTTCCCCCTGAACGGTACATTACGAAACTGTCCAGTAGTTCAGGGAAATCGCAGAGAAATGGGAAAGGGCTACAAAAATGTTTCTGTAGCATATCCACGGATAGAAGGGTGAATAATTACTGTACATCACGACACATCACGATAAGTCGTATGACCTAGATATCTAGGTTAACGTTTACCATGTTGCGCAGCATTTATGAAGGGAAGCTACTCTAAAGTCACAATAGTGGAAATATTACCAAGGGAAGTCAATTACGTTTACTTTATCAACATATAATTTTTGGCAATGTCACTACCAAACGGATTGCCGAACATTGTTCCTTTTCACAGGAGTTTAATGTTTCGCAGTTTGCGGGTTCATCTGGCGGTTTTCTGCCCGAGGTCTGTTTAACAACTGCTCAATAAATTTCACAATAAACAATCACAAATAAACAGAATACAACAAGATCAGCTTCCTATTCGCCACGCCGCACAACTTCGAAGTCGGTCAGTGTATTATTACGCGGTCAAACAAGGTATTTACAAGTGAAAGGTACAATATATATGCCAGCTGGTTAAAATGCTATTGTTATTGCTTCTGATATTTGTTTCTGTTTGATGCTGTTATTGATGTTATACTTATTAAAGCAGCTTCAAACCTCATAACGAATTTTTGTTATATTTTAAAGATCGGATTCTTTGAGAACTATTTCTTCAAGGGTTTGGGATACATGTGTAAAGAAAATCGCTGTGTATACAAACATCGCTGCAATACGTACGTTCTTGAACCGAATGGCATTACAACATTTTACAGGTATTAAAACACACTAAACAATGATCATCTACAAATGGGTGGAAAACGTATGTGTAAACTTCAAAGTGCGAAATTATAAGAATTGAATGTCAGTTTGTGTGTTTTGCACTGAAAAATGAACGATGTCAAAGCGTTGTTCAAACTCTCGCGTGAACTCGCTCGTAAACTCGCTCGTTCACACGAGTTTGAACACCGCTTTGACATCGTTCATTTTTCAGTGCAAACACACAAACTGACATTCAATTCTTAAATGAACAAAGCAAAAGACTCAACGTATTTCCTGACCTGGATTCAAATCATTCACTTCCACATGGGAGTAGTGTTGTTAATTCTTGAGCTGGATAATCGAAATTATAAGTAATATGTAGATCAGGATAGCTCTCCTCGAGTGGATCTGGACCAAACACAATTGTATTATTCATGTGATGAAATTATTTGTTTGGTATTTTTTCTGTTTAAAATGTTTTGTCCTAACGACTCTGTTTTATAGATATAGGGTATTCATTCACGCATATATTGTCAGTTGGCGATGTGCGCGTAACTACATGTTACAATCGCAGAGGAACAACGAATCGCCACATCATCATTTAGAAACGTATTTCAATCAACATGAGTGGGATACAAAGTGCAAGACAAAACTGGATGATTTTTTAAAAAGTTCTTTCTTGACTGATTTGGAGGTGAATAATTATTTTACCTAAATGGACAAGTGGTACCTGCATGGGGAATATCTGAAACAATTTTCAGTACTGTGTTACTATACCATAAAATTGATTTATTGTAGATCTGGTGTATTTATTCTGTACCACTGTAACTGAAGACCTTTTTAAGGAGAACATATTATCAGATTAACATAACAGGATTCACACTACAGCAAACAATTAACCTAAATAAATAACGAACACCTGGAGTGCAGTTAATAAAAAATTAATCTGAAATGGTGTCTTAAAAGTCAAATAACAATAGACAAATTCACAATAGCTTCCAACTGTAACACTGATGAATAACAATAAAATTTTCTGAGGATGCAAATTGAAAATATATTGGGTGCAATATTTATGTTGATAGAAATGTCTTTTTAGATTAGTCTGACATGAATGACAACAATTACAGCTGGATCAATGCATAATTTAGCATAGTTTTCTCCCCTTACACAGTATCATAATCTCTTCCCTATGAATGATTTTTTTTTCTGATTCCCAACTAACTCTTTTCAAACAGGATGAAATACATTCTTTTTCATCAATTATTAATTAAACAGTAGCAAATGTGTTACATCTAAAACTATGCCATTATGAAATACCTTTCTATTATTCAGTTAAATCTATCAATGTGTATGTATTACAGCTGTCTCTTTTTTCATCCATCATTTACACAACACAAAAGCATGAAACAATTTCATTTACATTCATGTCTGTCAATGTTGTGCTGTTTGGGCAAGGTACATCACAAAACCTGGGAAGATATTCAACAAATGAAAACGTTCCAGCTAATCAGTGCCAATGTTTGAAATGATGGAATACTGTAAAATGTTCAATTAATTTTTATCATCATACATGAATTTACAAACTCCAAACTTTTCAAGTTCAAGATTTCTGTTCATTTTTTCTATTTTGTCAACCTTTTCCTTGAGTTGCCTCCCCTGTTCATGTCAGTTTTGCTGGAGTTGTTCTATGTAGGACTGGGGGTCAGTGGCTGCTGTATCACTCTCTGCTTCACTGTAATATAAGCATTGTAAAGCATCACTATTATCTCTTCGACCACACAAACAATAAATATATCTCTGGAATTACAAATATACATCAAGGAATAGAGGCTAACATCATTTCATATTTTAGACAGTATGGGCAATCAATATTTTTATTTGTAAATAACATAGCATATAGGTCAAAGTTCAGTTGTATTAAATTCTTTAAAACCATGTCAGTTGGCAAAATTAACTTAACACGATCTGACATTCTTACTGTATCTGAGATGGTGACTGTGGTAGATTGCTTATGGGAGGTTCCTGAGCTGGTGACATGCTCTCTGACTCTTAATTAGCAGCATCTGAAATGGATATTTGAATGTGTCTGTGTGTGTGTGACATTCACATTGTACATGTGCCCCTAATATTAAAACCTTGCATAGTGAACAGTTTGTACATTACACGGCAGATCTAGATTTCTAGACTATGCCATGTGCCGTAATTATTTTGTACTTACTATAAATCATTTTCCAGGATCTCTCCGTATTTTCGTCAACCACTGCCTTCTTCTGATCTGATTCTTGGGAATATGGTGAAAAGATACCGTAACATCCTTACGGGCATCACTCCAACGCAAAGGCACACAGCAGTATATCTTTCCTTTTCGAGGTCGCCATTTTCAAGGTTGGGTCAACCTATTTAAGCCTCGCTTTCGATTTGACCTCGAGGTCATGCATATTGGCTAAGAATGGTCTATATTCGTCTTATAAATCCTAACCAGGGTCTTCACGGATCGCTGAAATAACAATTATGTTTTGTTTAATTGTAGGTAGAATCTGTGTATTTGTTGTAGACAGCAGACAAAATTCAAAATTGAACCACTTTTAGTTTCAACACATTCCCTAGACACCCCATGAAACTCTCAGAAGTCAAGCTGCCAAATACGGTCACCCATCCAAGGTCTCTCCGCGTCAACGTTGCTTAACCCCCTGGATGCCGAGTTTTTTTTCAGGCGCACATTTTCAGACCCTCCTATCTATTTGACTAAAAAGAAGCATTATTGGATTGAATGTAAACAATATCGTGTGTTTAGCCACCACATGCGAATGAATAGCATTAAATGTGCTATGGATGCAGCAACTATCTTTGTAAAAGCGGTTGGCATGGGAAGTGCTACACAGCCGCTATTGGAACGTAAAGCATCGGCAACCGAAAACTTTCGGTCATCTCCGTTAAATTCCGCATTTCGCCGAACAACGCCAACACTTCCTGTCGTCACAGCGCGCGAAAAATGGCTGACAAGAGAGCAGAAGTGAAAGGGGTAAGTATTTCAATCAACGCTTATCTCCAGAGAACGTAATTCTGATGAAGAAAGAAGTGCGCATTGAACGTACACCATCATCCCCCTTTGATAGCAATACTTCATCATCGTCAATAATGTATTTTGTGTCCATTATCTACGTTTTTGTTTGGAAGTCGAACGGAAATCTCAAGCTGCGATCGGCGGAAGTATTCCATGAGGCTGCCAACCTCCTTCGCCTTGTCTTTGTCGAGTGAATTCTCACATGTAAATTTCGGCGATTCAGTGAGGAGCAAAGTATGACTCAGAGTGAATATTGTATTCGGGATTTGTGGATGTGGAGTTGGCACGTTCGTTGACAAGGCGAGGCATACGCTAAGGGGCTTTTCGAGGAGTGACCACTTCCCCTTATATAGTCTCCCTGGGCTGAGCAATAATTTCATAAACTGGTTACGTCTGAGAGACAGCTGTTGTATTTTGCCCCATATTTGCTCACATAAAAGATTGTAAGTCAGTGTCCATAGTATGCATTTTGCTCGTGTCTGATTGTGATTTAAACTATATTACTTTATTTAACAGATTCCCTTACCAGACCATCATGTGTTTGTTTTGGCAAATACACTGTTGCCGAGTGTGCTCGGATCTGGTGGGCGGATGGGTGAGATGTGCGACAGTTGTGACATTCCTACTGTTCCTGAAACTCAGTCATCGACAGCCTGTTCAGAGATCATACATGGAGTCTCCCCAATATTACATTCTTCCTATGTGCCAGAGTCTCCAGCAGTACTTCTCACACCAAGAGGTAGACTATTGCCCTTCAGTGTCGGTTCTCCAGCTTTCCATTGAGATTGTAAAGATATCTGACAAACACAACATTTTTCACTCCCCTTTCATTCCATGTTCTAAATAAAACTCATAATGATTAATTTTCTGAATATATTTCATAATCTTAATCTTTTTGTTTTACACTTACAGATCACAGTCAACCTTTACAGGATCACACAAGTTTCCTGGATATGTCTCATTTAGATGAAACAGAGGGAAACACTTCTAGGATTGATGAGACATTGTTCGACGCATCTGAGACAAAGGAGCACAAACCATCTGTACAATGTGGGACTTGCGGGAAGATTCTGAAGAGCAAAGGCTCCTTGAACCTGCATGTGAGGCGCCACACAAGAGATTTTAACTTCTCTTGTCAATTGTGTGGCGAGTCTTTCCTCATCAACCAGTTGCTGAAAGAACATGTCGCCAAAGTCCACAAAAAAACTGGTGTTGTAAAGTGTAAGTTCTGTGGGAAAGTCACAACAACATTCCGTGGTATGCGCGAGCATGTTAAGGAGCATGCTGGTGAGGAACACAAGTGCCATGACTGTGACATGTCTTTCTCAACGAAAACAAAATTGAAGCGTCACATGTCCTGGCATTCCAAGGACTTTGAATGCAATGTTTGTGGGAAGTGGTTTCCTTCCAAAGGACAGCTAAAGATCCACAGCCTGATACACGATGAACATGCACAGAAATACCAGTGTTCACACTGCAATTATGTGTCTATTTGGAAGGCGAGCATCAATCGGCATGTCAAGACGAAACATACTGATACACGGCAACACGTATGTGACAAATGTGGAAATGGATTTAAAGAAAAGAGTACTCTGACAAGGCACATGCGGCGGAACAGTTGTGATAGGCCTCGAGCGAGTAGCATGTGGGAGGAATTGTGATTGTATTATTGCATTTGTGATAGTGAGTGAGTTTAGTGCCAGTGACAAAGATATTATTGTCATTGCCTGGAAACCATCATTGAAGGATCTAGTACTTGCCTCATGTGTAGTCTTTCATCACCAGTGCCAAAGATATTGTCATCAGTATGTTATGTGCCAAATTTATATCACCAGTGACAAAGATAATATTTTCATTGCCTTAAAAACCATCAGTATTTCTAGATATTTACAATGTTATGAAATGGCATTGGTGTCAATCTAATATGTTCCATGCATACCTTGAGAATACATTGTAATTCATATCTACTGGCCATTTGAATTTAACATGTCTGATTTTTAAAAGTTAAAATGGCATTCAATCCAGAATCTTTAGCGGCGGGGAAAATTGTCACATCAGTGGCAAACACTTGTTGTTTTATGAATTTGAACTAGTGAACACTTTTGTTTCTGTTAACATGTAAATATTCTACATAAAATATGTATGCTGCCAGCATACAGGTTGTGGTAAACTTTAAAAATATGTCATGACATTTTTCCGTTTGCTTAATGAATAAACATTGTCAGTTGTCAACTAAGATTTCGACACTACATGTATGTTTTTTGTCATTATTAATCACACACCCTTTGCTTTTTTAAGTTCTTTTGTTTACGTTTCGTTTTTAGTAATAGAATTTCCTCAATGTTGTTTTTCTAGTGTTAGAGATTGTAAATTCTTGTTATTAGAAAATACCTGTGCATGCTTGTAATGTTTGTTCATGTGATCTTGTGTTTTGAAAGTAGAAGGAAGGATGCTTGGCCAACCAGGTTAGCTATAGTTTGGCATGAAATGCATGTGGGCCCGTTTTTTTGTAAGTATCTCTTCATCCAATGACCCAATCGATCTCAAACTGTTCAAGTGGATGGGTCATAAAGGTCAACGTTCGTCAATGTAGGTCATCTGAATAAGCTTTCATGATGACAGCTAGAAGTAGTCAATGATCCAAACGGTCTATCACTGTGCAGTGCACAGTTAACTATCATGAACTGCACGTGCATTTACCTTTATGACCCAACACTGCTGCTGTTACAGGTCATTGGCTCCCTCCCTCTGCAAGCAGTCTGCGGTCTGCTGTTTATTTTGTTGACAGTTACATAGACAGATTCTTTAATACAAATGCATAAAATCGGTGATTTACAATGTGATTAGGTTGTCTGACAAAACATCCACTTGCACAGTTTGAGATCGATTGGGTCATTGGATGAAGAGATATTTAAAAAAACACCGGGTCCACATGCATTTCATGCCAAACTATATGTGATAATGGCAAAGAGAACTAACAAATACTTGCAATGATTGTATTTATTTTTAATTTTGTTTCTATTACCCATGATAACCTGTAATAAAGATATATTTACATATATATATGAAATTCAAGTATTTCATTCATGAACAAATGATAAGCTGTAGATAAAAATGTGGTCGGTTTACATTTGACACAATATCAAAACACATGGTGAGAGTAACACATTCAGCACTGGGACATATGTTCATCACAGCGGGCAACAGAAAGTCCAGCTCTTATTAGTGGATTCATTTTGTTTTCATTGACTTTGTGGTAGCTCCTGACGCCAACAGCACCTCGACCAGGTTCATGGAGACTCGATATACCCTGCATTGGTTTCCTTGCACGACGAAGCCGGGCTGGGGCATCAAATAGGTGGTCCTGTAATAGAAATGAAGAACTCAATAACAAAATTATATGTACTACTTTTGGGTGTACATGAACTTAAAATTATGACAATGCATTTTTTCTAGTGCTTTAATTTAATAGTGATGCTGACATTCATTCTCACAATATTTAATTATATGGCAAGGACATCAAGGCTTAACAGTAAGCAATGCCTATGCACTGTTAAATATTGCTACCCACCTTTATTGGAATGCAATGAATATATGTAGGAGGTTCAACAAGCAAGGGAAGAGGACCAGTATCATTCTCCAACAGTACTTGTGGGTAAACCGGGGCATTTGATAACCTCACACCGAAGCCTCTGCAAGATAGCAATCAGTTGAAAGTTCAGGTGATGAAATAGTTAAACCTGTGGAATCACATTATAAACCACTGTACACTGACGAGTATGTCATCTAAACAATAAGTTACCACACTGCCAGACTACATATACTTTACTCTGTTCCAGGTTTCTTCACAAGCTTTGTATTGAACTGTGAGTGAAATACTGGAAAAGAATAACTGAACACTTGTACATTCCTGTGTTCCCTTATTCATTTCCATGAGTATATTTGATAACAGTAAAAAATACAGGTACACAACCTATCACCCTGTGTAAGAATACCCCATTGGTTAAAAATATACAACTTTTAAATGCCAGGGAAAACAATCCTTCCTAGTATGGTGCTGGACTTACCTGTTTGGATCTTGCCTTACAATGCTTTCCCCACAAATTTTGGCCATGTTCACCTCAAGCTCCACACAGCTGGGGACTCCATTTCTGGCACCTGGCATAGTTGCAAGGCAGGAAAACAGGTTTTCGCATGGCTGACTGCTCAGAGCCCTGTTGTTGTAGGTCCGACGCTTGCAAATAGCATACATAAATATGTCAGCATCGACTGATGCAATGGTTGCCTCCCAGAGAGGTACTGGGTACCCTCTCACATGTGAACCCACTGGAGGGAAGGTTGACAAGTCAGTCAGGGACAAAAGGAATTTCTTGTACCTGTAAAAAATGAGAAATTTATGAACTCATGAAGTTAGGAGAATTAAAGTTACATGAGCTGTAGCTTTTGTTATGGATTTTGGTCATATCACAATGATCTACAAACCACAGGGCAAATTCTAAATTATCTCACCTATATTTCATCCTACACCTGTCAGTAGCTGATATCCCTGGGTCATCACATGCCTGGAACCACTCACGAACCTGAAATGGGTTTAATATTTGTATACCTACAGTCCAAAAGCATGATTAGTGTACCTGAATTCAACAAATTAACATGTTCATCAACATTGAGATAACAAATTTATCATCATCATTTATTCCTATGCAACTTTCTTTAAACCATTAATAAAGCTTTTTATCATACAGTCCACTAACTATGAATAACTTACATATCTGCACAAATCTGCTGACGAGGAGTGTCCCTTGAGTCTCAGCTGATGCTCCACTGGAGCTGAAAAAGTTATCCTTGCATAATCTGTTGACTGCATGTTAAGCTGCTCCTCCATCATCCCTGCCTTCAGTGGTGTTGTGTTTTCTCTGCTCACCTCCACAAAATGTTCTCTCTTTGCAAATCCCAAGTCACCCTTACAGATGGCGGACCGATGTCTGGTCAACAGGTGATGGCTTTCGATCCTTTTGACTTCTATATGACCTCTGGCGCTGGTCATTTCTGGAATGTAAAACCATTCCATTCCTTTGCTAGGCTCAATCTCTGGAACCAACATTCCAAACTCGACTCTTGCATTTTGCTTCCACTCTTGCAATGCCTGCGGAAATCTCCAGTTGGCATATGACACATTCAGAGCAAGTCGTGGGTACTTATTGCTCTGAATAAATTTGGCAGTGAGTTCTCTCAAAGAGGACACTTTTCTTTTCCTATTCACATTCTTCACAGTTTCTGAACCCTCTATTTTCAAATTATGTTTCAGTCTTTCAAGAAAAGTGAACGTTGTGCGAGAATTGCGCTCGCGTGGTCCTGGATCTACGTACGGCTATAAAATGTAGAATATTAAATGTAGTATATTAAATGTCCTATCCGTTGGTATAAATATAAGTGCAACTACCTCGGCGGTTTGAGAAAAAGACCTTGCTAAATGTGGTCCAAATTTTTGTTATGCCTTAAAAAAACCAATAAATTTCTCCGCTTTTTATCGCGCACCGATAAAACTTCTGTGCTACGAATCTTTTATTTTGGCATCTTTACGGAAAGTGTGAGCGAAGAAAATACACCCTGATATCAGAACGACATAAGTGTACAGTATATGAAATGGGTTTGTGTGCTTGTGCATAACGTTATACGCTCAACATTAAAAATAACTCGTAATAAATGTCAAAAATGGATTTTCTTCCATGACGTCAAACGACGACAGAGAGGTCATACACGTATAATGATAAGGGGGCATAACTCCGTTATGCGTAACACTAGGTCAATGTCACTCAGATCACATGGAGAGTATTTGTTGTGGATACGGACGATATATTTTCGTTATTTTTTGTTCACGGTGAACCAAACTATTCCAATTCAAAGTTCCCCAATGTGAGCGGATACGCTTTGGTAGTTTCACAATTTATAAGAAAAGATGACAACGTACTACATGTGAAAGCACGTAATAGCGATTTGGATGGCCCTATCCGATATATAAGTTAGTTCTTAGATTCCCATATCCTCCTGTTTGTGTAGATGTATTTTGACTAATTTTACATCGTTATTACCAGAATACTAGCCATATCTTCAAATGTAATGAAATTGCTGAAAATAATACAACATTTTAGTTGACGTCATTGCTTGTTTTATGCATTTTGCGACGTCGGAAAAAGACGACATTGGTATGCTGATTAGTATATATCTCACCTAATTTCCATTAATTGTATAAAAGGTCTCGGCTTCTATGTCAGAATTAACACTCTTTAGACAAAACATAAAATGACTGTTTTTTCCATTTAAATAGTGTCCTGAATATATCAACAATTAGACAGTTTGACTGTGTATCTTATCATGAGCAACACCGCACCTGTTTGGCATCAATTTAACGTAAATGAAAAATAACATTTCACAACACCCGAATATTTTGTTGAGGATAGGAATTTTCTTTAGTTATGATTATGTAGCTATTTCTCTTCAAAAGGATGCAATGGAAGATGCAAAAAAGATATCTTTTTATATATGGAACTAGTACGTACTATATATTAGAATATGGATGTAAGATTTGTCCAAATTAAGACATGACATGGATTATATATTTTTAAACAATTTTCGTATAAATATAGTTAGAGTTTGATATCCTGTCATCACAATATTTTTAAATCGAGTATGAATTGATTATATTATCGAAAACAATGAAAGTGAATCATAAAACGTTTCCGACAAACGCGCACCTGGCCAATCAATATACATCATTGTTTTCTCTATAAAACGACACAAAAATGTGCAATGAACGAGACAATTCCTTTAAATGTGTGTGCATATACATTTCATAACATACATAAATCATTTTCATTAAATATTATCAGTTTTACTTAAAAGGTTTAATCAAATCGCCGTTCATTAATTTGTTCATGTGAAACTGCAATATTAGTTCAAATGCATTGAATATTGTACATCATAGGAACTAAAGTAATTGCAGTTATGGCTACGTTTGATCTTCTAACACTTGTGTAAAGGTTTAGAATATGGTGTACTGCACTAGAGTGTCAATTTCTTATGTAAATATTATTCAAACAATTAAAAACTTTCAAAGAATAAAACACCGTAAACCCTATATGCACGTATGATATGATATTGAACAAGGCTAAATGTAGATACTGAGGTCAGTTTCATGAAAAAGTATCTGAACTATCCGCAAAATATACATCATAATACTGACAGTGTAATCGGAAGGATATGGCGATTGTGTTTACTCTTGTTCAACCGACCTTTACCTCAAAGACATTGCCTAATATGTACAACAATGTTGACGTATGACATCACTACCGATGACCTATTTCTTACAAAATGGCGGCTTTGCTGACAGGGATACACAGGACTTTGCGAGGACCCTTCCATTGATTCAGGGATCGTGTGTACATAAATATGACATGTAAGTAATCAGAATGATTCTGACTATCTGTGTATTGTTATATGTTTTTTATCGTTTTCACTGTAAGTAAGAGAAGAAGCCAGAAATGCTGATAATTACAGTTGTCGTTCTGCGTGATTTTGCGTCAGTCATGGCGTCACGCTGCACGGAAACTTTGACAATTTCTTATGAATTATAAAATCATTACATTGTATCTATTTATAATTTCCTATTTCTAACTACGATAATCTTTCCATGCATATTCCAAAGGTATTGAGCAATTGCAAGCAATGAATAGACGGATGAATGTTGGAAAATATCAGAAAATGCTACGCAGTGTAAAATCGGAATTTGCCTTTGTTTACATTTCGAACCAGCGCAGTCTTTCGAGCACAGCGTTCGTTTTCACACCCAATATGTTTCGTCTCATTTTATCTGGACAGTTGGTATTGGTGACTAAAAACCAGTTGCAATTTGATTCTAAAATGTATGGGGAATTCAGTGATGCATTTTTCGAAGCTGAATATGAAATATACGTGATGTAATAGGCGTCTCAATACCGGCCTTCGCGAAACGTGATTTTGTAAACACTATCCAATATGGCGGAAAGCGCTCTACGGCGTTCGTGTAAGTGTATTTTCGAAAACATCCCAACCGATTCTAGATTCATCGGCAACGTTTCAGAATTATCATTAGCGATTTCATGTAAAAGTGATATCAGTGTTCATTAATATGTTATTTTTTTAAATTCAGTACTCCCAGTAATTATCCGATTTTCACATTTCAAAACATACAGCAAATAACGCTGTGAATCGCGATTTCGTACTGTGTCAAAAATGGCGACATTTTCGATGAAGCCTTTTTTGAAAGGTAATTTTCAGCACTTGAGCTTCGTCTAAAATACTAGTGGATGGTATCAAGAAACAAGAGATTTCCCGCAGAATTCGAAACTGTGAAGTGTATTTGTGTGCGTGGAATATTTAGATTTTTATTGGACTAGAAATTGAGGGTTGAAGGGGAAGGACATATATGTCCCTGTGGCAAAATAGTTGACAACGTATTATTATTCCGTGACAATTTTTAATACAAGCAAACCTAAGTCCTGATTTATTTACATTATCGAAACCATAAGTGGAGATAAGGCCGGAGCGTCACGTCCACTTGTCGTCACAGGAACACCTGTTTTGGCCAGTGCTGGGTCGAAGTATGTTTGGAATGGAATGTCAGTTTATTGTAAAATCGACAATGGAGTGCCAAGCTGACTGAATGAGTGAGTGAGTGAGTTGAGTGAGCGAGTCTTGGTTATGACTACAGAACGTCAACGAATCCATGACGTCATTGGACATTTCAGAACGTCGACTGCAAACCGCAATGCGTCATTGGAGACTAGCAGAGTGTTCATGGACAATGGTATTCCATCATTTGACAATAGCAGAGAACTGGACAAAAACATGACGTCTTTGGACAGTAGCAGAACGTCGTCGGCAAACCGCAATACGTCATTGGAAACTAGCAGAGCGTACATGGACAATGGTATTCCATCATTTGACAATAGCAGAGCATTGTTGCTCAATAGAATTCCGTCAATGGACAGTAACAGAGCATTGTTGCTCAATAGCATTTCGTCAGTGGACAACAGCACAGCGTTGTTGGACAACAGCATTCCGTCATTGTACAGTGGCAGAGCATTGTTGGGTTTCACACATTGTGCCCACGTGGGGAATCAAACCCGCGCCTCCGGTGTGACGAGCGAACACTTTATCTACTAGGCTACCCCATTACAGCCAAGACACCCCCACAGCTGGTTTCACATGAGTTTTCTGTAAACCTACACAAAGGTAATATACATTTTGCTGTCTTTACCACATCCAGAGACAGTAACCCGAGTCGGCTTTCCTTCTGGCAGTGTGGCGCGCCAATTCTCCACACAAACAGACAACACTACAAGCACACCCACGCTCGACCGAGCGCGCCCCGCCAGCTCGCTCGCTCGCTCCCACCCACTCACTCACTCACTCACTCACTCACTCACTCACTCACTCACTCAGTGGGGCTACTAATGAGTGAGTGACGTTAGTTTTACGCTAGCATTATTCCAGCTGTATGGCGGCGGTCTGTAAATAATCGAGTCTGCACATGACAATCCAGTGAACAGCATGAGGATCTGCCCAATTGGGAACCGATGACATGTGTCAACCAAGCCAGCTAACCGGACCACCCGATCCCGTTAGTCGCCTCTTACAACAAGCATGGGTTACTGAAGATCAATTCTAACCTGGTCCTTCACGGGTCAGTGGGGCTACTAGACTTCTGAGACATTTTGTATTTCTTTGTACGCTTGGGCCATATTGTTAATATCTCCACAAAACCTCACAACATCAAAGAGGTCAATAGAGAAAATATTCCTTCCATATGACATTTCTCTATTTCGTGAGGAAAAAACGCCCTTTCTTGGAATCACTGAAAGAAATCATGTTTTTCCAAATGTCCGTTCATTCCCTTTCGACCGCCAAGAGTTGAAAAAAGATATTGAGGTTAAACATATGTTTGACCTATACCGATTATTCTGTGACCATGGAGCGGTTAAAGTGGGTCTCCAAGCCAAGGGTGATATCCAAGTAATTCTTATGTGTTAACACTTGTCTATCACAAGTGAAGACTGACATTGTCCTAGATAACGGGGGTATATATAAAGCCCAGATGTTAAAGTGAAGTAACACTAGGCCTCACATCGCTTAAGATGTACGCTGTTTGGGTATTGCTAGCGTGTGTTCATATTTCAAGAGCAGGTAGGTCGTCAGAATTTACACATTAAACTTTACCGTGGTACAGTATTGCCAAACTACTGAAATGGTTTGATATATCATTTATATGTATGTTGATGATGAAATAAAATTGCCATTGCTACCAACTGATAAAGATTATTTGCAAAAGAAACCAAATTGTTAATTGTGGTCAAGTGAAATTAATATTTTGTCAAGTGGATTTTGAAAGTTTACAGGACCTGTGTCCAGTGGAGTTTTGAAATAAACTTCAATCCCTGGATGGCCATTACAGCAGTTTAACAACAGAATAGTAAACTGAAAAATAATCATAAATTATTTTAACTTTATTCAATTTTAAGAGGAATCAAAATTTCTTTCAAAGCTTGGTCAATGCAGGTAGCAAAAGTACTGTAAGTCTCCATGGTCCCTTGAATGGTTCCTACCTTCAGTTGTTGGCGATCTATAGCCTGTTTATATTGTCTTAATAGTATAAAATGTTTTAGATTTACGCATGAGCTTTACATTTAAATATGTGATATTCTAGTTGTTTTACTGTCTTTAGTTGAATTTTTTTATACTTGAACTTTACGTATTATGAATCCATAACTTGTTTTAGTCACGATATGCCTGAAATACTTCCATTTCTTCATCTTAACTCACTTAAGATGAAGACGAAATTAGATGTTTAATTTAAGTTGAATTAGATGCATTAATTACAAATGCATAGGTCCTAACCATCTTGGGGTAGCGTAATGGTTAAAGGTCACATGCAACGTAAAACACAACTTTGCAGATTCTGATACCTTTCGGTATGGACTTACAGTAACAAATTATCAAAAATGCAAATTCAACTTATAAAGTTGAAAAATAACGCGATGAAAAAAACCCCGCGAAATCGGAGTTCAAACGATTCACTAAATTCACCCCAGCTGGGGTGAAAAGTGGTTTCAACAGCTGTGCTGCGCTGCACTTCCGCTCATGGCGCAGTGAATAGGTTCGCGCAGCTTGGAAGCAACATTTCAAGACGGAAAACCTTCGCTGGCGGTAAATACTCGGAGTAGGCTTTGATGTGAGCTATTTTTCTAATGTTTTGTTGATATTTGACAGGCGCGAGCTTTTTGTATGTTATGGCAGTAGATTACCGATTTAACTGTTTATATAATTTCATTTGTCTATTGCACCACACGTTCTTCTTACCGAGTCACTTTTCAGTTCGATACTTAAAAGCAACGTCATTATTTAGCATTGTCAGAATGTCTAACTGTGACATAGATGTGCCTCTGTCACAGACATAACTCAATGTCTGTTTTATTGACACCTATGTATCTGCCTGCCTGTCTGCTAATGACGATATGCAATACACAACTTCGATCACTGACCACATGCAATTTGAACTTACACCTATCAGGCTATACACCATATAGAACAAAACGCATTGATTTATGGCTTGTGCACCCGAGTTCGGTCTCTGTCACATTATGTAATTACACAGACAGGCAGGTGTGATTCTTGTACACATGACATGTTATAATGTCTGTTGATTGCAAAATGTTATACACAAAAATGAGCATGTATTTACAAAACCCAACATATACACACACAAAGAGCCCTGAGTGTATCGGGAAAAGAAACCAGCCAATGGAACACTTCGTGCACGCCCACAAGCTCTGACTGGGTTCGGTATCCCGGGTGCTTCGTTTTGAGAGCAGTAAACCCAAGTACAAAATATTGCACTTTTGATTTGCGATTGTACGCTTATAACTTTGTTTATTTGATTTTTCATAATCAGCAATGTATATTATATGTCATGAATAAGTGATAATTGTGTTTTAATTATGTTTGTAGTTTTGGTTGCATGTGACCGCTCGTCCCGCCGCATACAATTCCCCACATGGGTACAATGTGTGAAACCCGTTTCTGGTGTCCCCCGCCACGATATAGCTGGAATATTGCTAAAAGCTGGGCGTATATGTAAAATCACTCAGCTAACCATCCACAGATATGAATTTCAGACCCCTTCCCTCTAAAACTACGCCAAGTTCTGTTGGTTTGGTTTGAAACGTTCTTGTGACGGACTGACTAAAATTGGTTTTACGCCGCTTTTAACAAAATTCTAGCAACATCACGGCGGGGGACACCAGAAATGGGCTTCACAAACTGTACCCATGTGGGGATTCGAATCCGGGTCTTCGGCGTGACGAGCCAACGCTTTTAACCACTAGGCTACCCCACCGCCCGAAACGTTCATGTGACGGAACGTCATATAACATAATGATTTGATTTGTTTATTGTTTAACGCCGCAATCAGCAATATTTCAGCTATATGGCGGCGATCTGTAAATAATCCAGTCTGGACCAGTCAATCCAGTGATCAACAGCATGAGAATCGATCTACGCAATTGGGATACGATGACATGTGTCAACCAATCAGCAAGCCTGACCACTCGATCCCGTTAGTCGCCTCTTATGATAAGTATGGGTTACTGAAGATCAATTCTAACTTGGATCTTAACGGGTGGGGTCAGGACAGACAACCCAGTGATTGATATAATGAGCATTGCACGACGGAAATAATCAAATCGAGCCTGGCCACCCGATTCATTAAAACACCTCTCGTACGCGCGGTATTGTTTGATGGAGACAAATGTATTAAATCTGAAAGGAAGTAAAATTAAGATATACGACTTTCAATCTTCCCTTTTCTAGCTGCTCCCCAGTTCAGTTCTGCTCAAAAGGTGGGAACAGTTGGTGCCCATGACGTTGACGAGGCGTCCGGACTCGCCGCCAGCAGGCAACACGCTGGTGTTCTGTATACCCAGAACGACAAGGGAGACAGCAGCAGGATATTCGCTATAGCAGCTGCCTCAGGTATGTGGTCGTTACCGTTTCTGTGCTATATATCAAGTGTTTCACTTGTTCATCTAAACTATGATTATTGTTAGTTTTGTGTAACATTCATGATGATGATGTTGATTACTTGGAGATTTAACGTGCGCCTTCCGACATAATGCCTATTTCGCACACGGGCGTATCAGGCCATTTAGTGTTTGATCGAAAGAGTGGTGATTTGACCGAAACACATGGCAACCTGGACAGGGCGTTAGTGGTGCGTAATTAAATTTGTATGGAATTATACTTTGGAAATTTGTCAGTTGTAGGGGGTGAACATTCATGTTTATTTTGTTCAAGCAGTATGTGAATGAACCAATCAGATCACAATAAGATATCCTTGGTGTTAACGTACTACATCAGTTGATTCACCTTTGTCTTAAAGCGCGGAAGCGCCAGGCAATAATGATTAGGATGGCTGACGTTGTCCTCTCACATCTATCCTCTCTGTCCAGGCAAGCTTCTGGCAACAATTAAAATCTCTGACGCTGTCCCCTCACACCTGTCCTCTCTGTCCAGGCAAGCTTCTGGCCACATTTAAAATCTCTGACGCTGTCCCCTCACACCTGTCCTCTGTCCAGGCAAGCTTCTGGCCACATTTAAAATCTCTGACGCTGTCCCCTCACACCTGTCCTCTCTGTCCAGGCAAGCTTCTGGCCACATTTAAAATCTCTGACGCTGTCCCCTCACACCTGTCCTCTGTCCAGGCAAGCTTCTGGCCACATTTAAAATCTCTGACGCTGTCCCCTCACCTGTCCTCTCTGTCCAGGCAAGCTTCTGGCCACATTTAAAATCTCTGACGCTGTCCCCTCACACCTGTCCTCTCTGTCCAGGCAAGCTTCTGGCCACATTTAAAATCTCTGACGCTGTCCCCTCACACCTGTCCTCTCTGTCCAGGCAAGCTTCTGGCCACATTTAAAATCTCTGACGCTGTCCCAAGCTCACACCTGTCCTCTGTCCCTCTCTGCAAGCTTCTGGCCACATTTAAAATCTCTGACGCTGTCCCCTCACACCTGTCCTCTCTGTCCAGGCAAGCTTCTGGCCACATTTAAAATCTCTGACGCTGTCCCCTCACACCTGTCCTCTCTGTCCAGGCAAGCTTCTGGCCACAATTAAAATCTCTGACGTTGTCCTCTCACACCTGTCCTTTCTGTCCATGCAAACTTCTGGCCACAATTAAAATCTCTGACGCTGTCCTCTCACACCTGTCCTCTCTGTCCAGGCAAGCTTCTGGCCACAATTAAAATCTCTGACGTTGTCCTCTCACACCTGTCCTCTCTGTCCATGCAAGCTTCTGGCCACAATTAAAATCTCTGTCGTTGTCCTCCCACACCTGTCCTTTCTTTCCATGCAAACTTCTGGCCACAATTAAAATCTCTGACGCTGTCCTTCCACACCTGTCCCCTGTCCAGGCAAGCTCCTGGCCACAATTAAAATCTCTGACGCTGTCCCCTCACACCTGTCCTCTCTGTCCATTCAAGCTTCTGGCCACAATTAAAATCTCTGACGTTGTCCTCGCACCACGCCTGTCCTTTCTGTCCATGCAAGTTTCTGGCCACAATCAATTAAAATCTCTGACGTTGCCCTTTCACACATCTCCCCTGTCCAGGCAAGCTTCCGGCCACAATTAAGATCGCTTAAATTGTCCTCTCACCACACTTGTCCTCTCTGTCCAAGCAAGCTTCTGACCACAATGAAGATAGCTCACATTGTCCTCTCACCTCACCTGTCCTCACTATCCAGGCAAGCTTCTGGTCACAGTTAAGACAGCTCACATTGTCCTCTCATCTCACCTGTCTTCTCTATCCAGGCAAGCTTCTGGCCACAATGAAGATCGCTCACATTGCCAACTACGACTGGGAGGACCTGGCAGTAGGTCCGTGTCCCGGGTCGGGGTCGTGCATCTACATCGCCGAGACGGGAGACCACGCCGGCGACGGCGCTAAGAACATCATCTACAGGGTGAAAGAGCCGGCCGTGATCAAGGACCAGACGTTGGACGTTCTAGACCAGTTGCACTTCAGGTGATTAGTACATCCTGACTTACGAGTGAGTGAGTGAGTGTGCTTTTACGCCTCAATAAGCAATATTCCAGCAATATCACGGCGCGAGGACTACAGAAATGGGCTTCACATATTGCACCCGGTGTCTACGCTTTAACCCCACAACCCCGCCATTACAAAACGCTTTTGTATTGTTATTTGCTTTACGAAGCCGTCTGAAATAGTCCGGCTTTATCAGCGTTCAAATAATTGACATCATTGAGTGAAACCTTTTTAATCTGATGTTACACAAACATTTTCATTTTTTTGTTGCATAGCAGCCCAGGCGTATTGTTTTCAAAATATTGTATTGTGACACCTGAAGTGAGTGAGTTTAGTTTTACGCCGCACTCAGCAATATTCCAGCTATATATGGCGGCGGTCTGTAAATAATCGAATCTGGACTAAGACAATCCAGTGATCAACAGCATAAGCATCGATCAAAAGCAATTGGGATACAATGACATGTGTCAACTAAGTCAGCGAGCCTGACCACCCGATCCGTTAGTCGCCTCTTACGACAAGCATGGGTTACTAATCAATATTCTACCCCCACGATCTTCACGGGTCGACACCTGAAGGATGTCCGACAAAATTCCCTAAGTTAACTTGTACTGCCATTTTTCTTGTGTCCTTGTGCAGTTAGAACATTTGATTTTTCCAATGTATGTGTTTGTTTTTGTGACAGGTGCCACTGATACGCTCACCTATTTGCGAACCCATTATGATCGCTTTTAATAATGATTCATGAGTGAGTGAGTGAGTTTAGTTTTACTCTGCTTTTAGCAATATTCCAGCAACATCACGGCGGGACACCAGAAATGGGCTTCACACATTGTACTCATGTGGGGAATCGAACACGGGTCTCTTGAACCTGCATGTGATACACAAGATTTTAACCTCGTAATTGTGTGTAGGTAACCATCATCAACCAGTTGCTGAAGAACATGTAAGCCCAAAGTCCACAAAAACTGGTGTTGTAAAGTGTAAGTTCTGTGGGAAAGTCACAACAACATTCCATTGGTATCTGTGAGCATGTTAAAGAACATGCTGGTGAGAACACAAGTGCCATGACTGTGACAAGTAATGCTTTCTCAACGAAAACAAAATTGAAGCGTGGGCTGGGACTTTTGAATGCAATGTTTGTGGGAAGTGGTTTCCTTCAAAGGACAGCTAAAGAATCCACAGCCTGTTGATGAACATGCAAGAAATCTGGTATTCTACCTGGTATAATGATATATTTGGAAGAGAGCATCAATCGGCATGTCAAGGGCGAAACATACTGATACCACGGCTAGCATTATGTGACAAATGTGAAGTGGATTTAAGAAAAGAAATTACTCTGACAAGGCACATCTTGGCCGGAACAGTTGTGATAGGCCTGGCGAGTAGCATGTGGGAGGAATTAATGATTGTATTATTGCATTTGTGATGGTGGTAGAGTTTTGATGCCAGTGATACAAGATATTATTGTCATTGCCTGGAAATAACTCGTAGAAGGATCTAGTACTTGCCTCATGTGTAGTCTTTCATCACCGAGGTCACCAAGGTATCAGTATGTTATGTTTAGAATTATCTGGTGACCGAGAATATTTTCATTGCGCTTAAAAACCATCAATTATTTCTAGATATTTACAATGTTGAAATGGCATTGGTGTAATCTAATATATTTCATACATACCTTTGAGAATACGTATAATTCATATCTACTGGCCATTGAATTTAACATATGCGGATTTTTAAAAGTTAAAATGGCATTCAATCCAGAATCTTTAGCGGCGGAAAATTGTCACATCGGTGGCAAACACTTGTTGTTTTATGAATTTGAACTAGTGAACACTTTTGTTTCTGTTAACATGTAGTATTCTGCATAAAAATATGCTGCCAGCATACAGGTTATGAGCAAGCTTTTAAAAATATGTCATGAGCATTTTTCCGTTTGCTTAATGAATAAACATTGTCGGTTGTCAGCTAAGATTTGACTTTACATGTATGTTTTTGTCATTATTAAATGCACACCCTTTCTTTTGGTTCTTTTGTTTTACGTTTAAGTTTTTTAGTAATAGAATTTCCTCAATGTTGTTTTCTAGTGTTAGAGATTGTAGAAAAATTCTTGTTCAATGAAAATACCTGTGCATGCTTGTAATGTTTGTTCATGTGATGATCTTGTTTTGGCCAAGAGGAAGGATGCTTGGCCAACCAGGTTAGCTATAGTTTGTATAACAATGCCATGTGGGCCCAGATTTTTTTTTGCATCTCTTCATCAATGGCTAATCGATCTCAAACTGTTCAAGTGGATGGGTCATAAAGGTCAGCATTCGTCAATGTAGGTCATCTGAATAAGCTTTCATGATGGCAATGAAATGATCAATGATCCAAGCAGGTCTATCACTGTACAGTGCACAGTTAACTATCATGAACTGCATTTTCTTTATGACCCAACACTGCTGCTGTTACGGTCATTGAAACCCTCCTCTTGCAAGCAGTCTCACGGTCTGCTGTTTATTTTATGACAGTTACATAGGCAGATTCTTTAATACAAATGCATAAAATCGGTGATTTACAATGTGGTGGGTTGTCTGACAAAACATCCACTTGCACAGTTTGAGATCAGTTAGGGTCCATTGGATGAAGAAGATATTTAAAAACCGAGGTCCACATGCATTTCATGCCAAACTATATGTGATAATGGCAAAGAGAACTAACAAATACTTGCAATGATTGTATTTGTTGTTTTAATTTTGTTTCTATTACCCATGATAACCTGTAATATAAAGATATATTTACATATATATATGAAATTCAATGTTTACATTCATGAACAAATGATAAGCTGTAGATAAAATGTGGTCGGTTTACATTTGACACAATAATATCAAAAGCATGGTGAAATTAACACATTCAGCACTGGGACATATGTTTCATCTGGCGGGGCAACAGAAAGTCCAGCTCTTATTAGTGGATTCATTTTGTTTTCATTGACTTTTGTGGTAGCTCCTGACGCCAGCAGCACCTCGACCAGGTTCATGGAGACTCGATATACCCTGCATTGGTTTCCCTGCGACAAGCGGGCACAGAATCAATCAGGCCAGGTCCTATGAAATAAAGTGAAGAACTCAATGGCAAATTATATGTACTACTTTTAGGTATTGCATGAACTTAAAATTATGACAATGCATTTTTTTCTAGTGCTTTAATTTAATAGTGACATTCATTCTCACAATATTTAATTATATGGCAAGGACATCAAGGCTTAACAGTAAGCAATGCCTATGCACTGTTAAATATTGCTACCACCTTTATTGGAATGCAATGAATATATGTAGGAGGTTCAACAAGCAAGGAGAGGATGATGTAAATGCTCCAACAGTACTTGTGGGTAAACGGGGCATTTGATAACCCACGCCAGAAGCCTGCAAGATGGCAATCAGTTGAAAGTTCAGGTGATGAAATAGTTAAACCTATTGGAGATCACATTATAAACCACTGTACACTGACAGGTATGTCATCGCCAACGTAAAGTTACCACACTGCCAGACATACGTTTAGGGTTTTGCTGCGAAGCATTTGAGCTTTGGGTGAAGTACTGGAAAGAATAACTGAACTTGTATTGCATTCACTGAAACACTTATTCCGCTTCCATGAGTATATTTGATAACAGTTAAAAAATAAGGTACACAACCTTTCACCCTGTTAGAAATATACCCATTGGTTAAAATATACAACTTTTAATGCCAGGGAAAACAATCCTTCCTAGTGCTGGACACCTGTTTGGATCTTCACCTTACCAATGCTTTCCCCCACAAATTTTGGCCATGTTACCTCAAGCTCCCACACAGCTGGGAGACTCCATTTCTAGCACCTGGCATAAGTTGCAAGGCAGGAAAACAGGTTTTCGCATGGCCCCGACTGCTCAGAGCCCTGTTGTTGTAGGTCCGACGCTTTTGCAAATAGCACATACATAAATATGTCAGCATCGACTACATTCACGTGGACGCCTCCCAGAGGGTGCTGGGTACCTCTCACATGTGTGAACCCACTGGAGGGAAGGTTGACAAGTCAGTCGGGGACAAAGGAATTTCTTGTACCTGTAGAAATGAGAATTGGCGAACTCATGAAGTTAGAGAGTGGGGATTACATGAGCTGTAGCTTTTGTTGTAGTTTTGGTCATATCACATTGATCTACAAACCACGGGGGCAAATTCTAAATTATCTCACCATGTTTCATCCTACACCTGTCATTGCTGATATCCCTGGGTCATCACATGCCTGGAACCGCTCACGAACCTGAAATGGGTTTAATATTTGTATACCTACAGTCCAAAAGCATGATTAGTGTGTACCTGAATTCAACAAATTAACATGTTCATCAACTGTGAGATAACAAATTTATCATCATCATTTATTCCTATACAGCTTTCTTTAAACCATTAATAAAGCTTTTATCATACAGTCCACTAACTATGAATAACTACATATATCTGCACAAATCTGCTGACGAGAATTGTCCCTTGGTCTCGGCTGGTATACACTAGAGCTGAAAAGTTATCCTTGCATAATCTGTTGACTGCATGTTAAGCTTCTTTCTCCATCATCCTGCCTTCAGTGGTGTTGTGTTTTCTCTGCTCACCTCCACACAAATGTTCTCTCTTTGCAAATCCCAAGTCACCCTTACAGATGGCGTGACCGATGTCTGGTCAACCGGTGATGATGGCTTTTCGATCCTTTTGACTTCTATATATGACCTCTGGCGCTGGTCATTTTCTGGAATGTAAACCATTCCATTCGCTGCTAGGCTCAATCTCTGGAACCAACATTTTCCAAACTCGACTCTTGCATTTTGCTTCACTCTTGCAATGCCTGCGGAAATCTCCAGTTGGCATATGACATTCAGAGTGAGTCGTGGGTACTTATTGCTCTGAATACAAATTTGGCAGTGAGTTCTCTCCAAAGAGGACACTTTTTCTTTTCCTATTCACATT